GTGAAAGCATCTCTGCGTGGGTGCGTGTTTTTCAAATGCTAAATTTGGTCGAGCAGCAGAAGCAGGGCCATTCTCACCCTCCCGTCTCGTCCAAATTCCAGCAAGGAGATGATGCTGGTGAAGCTTTCCATTGACACTTGGACGTCCCTGCAGATTTCCAGCCTTGACGCAACGCAAGCTCAAGCACACCACGACAAACCGACACAAACAGACAAACAGCGACATGTCTCTCTAAAGCAGCCAAAGGTCACCACCATCCTCACAGTGTCGTCATCCGGGGGGTTAGGAATGTCCAAACTATCCGGCACATCAATGGCCATGCCTTTGCCGCCGCCCTTGGGCCGGGCACCTTTGTCACCCTTGCCCTTCCGGTTCTTGGCATCACCCTTGTGCTGCTGGACGTTCTTTCCGCCCTTGTCCTTGCCATTGCCCTTGTCCTGGCCTTTGGCCGGATCACCAAGGCCCTTGCCCTTGTCCTGCCCCTTGACCGACACGATTTGGTCCTTGCCCTTGGCAGTGCCCTTGTCCTGGCCCTTTGGCGGGTTACCCTTGTTGGAGTCACCCTTGCCCTTGTCCTGGTGCTGCTGGAAGTAGTCGTTGCCACCCTTGTCCACGGCGCCCTTGTCCTTGCCACCTTTGTTGGAGTCACCCTTGCCCTTGTCCTGGTGCTGCTGGATGTTGTCCTTGCCACCCTTGTCCACAGCGCCCTTGTCCTTGCCACCTTTGTTGGAGTCACCCTTGCCCTTGTCCTGGTGCTGCTGGAAGTAGTCCTTGCCACCCTTGTCCACGGCGCCCTTGTCCTTGCCCTTAACCTGAACACCCTTGTTGGAGTCACCCTTGCCCTTGTCCTGGTGCTGCTGGACGTTGTCCTTGCCACCCTTGTCCACGGCGCCCTTGTCCTTGCCACCCTTGTTGGAGTCACCCTTGCCCTTGTCCTGGTGCTGCTGGACGTCGTCCTTGCCACCCTTGTCCACGGCGCCCTTGCCCTTGCCCTTAACCTGAACACCCTTGTTGGAGTCACCCTTGCCCTTGTCCTGGTGCTGCTGGACGTTGTTCTTGCCACCCTTGTCCACGGCACCCTTGTCCTTGCCACCTTTGTTGGAGTCACCCTTGCCCTTGTCCTGGTGCTGCTGGAAGTAGTCCTTGCCACCCTTGTCCACGGCGCCCTTGTCCTTGCCCTTAGCTGGGTCACCCTTGTTGGAGTCACCCTTGCCCTTATCCTGGTGCTGCTGGACGTTGTCCTTGCCACCCTTGTCCACTGCGCCCTTGTCCTTGCCCTTGACCGGGTTACCTTTGTCGCCCTCACCCTTGCCCTTGTCCTGGTGCTGGACGTTGTCCTTGCCCTTGGCCTGGTCACCCATGTCCTTGCCCTGGCCGCCGCCACCCTTGACCTTGCCCTTGTCACCCTTGCCCTGCTCTTCTTGGGCTGCTCGTTCCTCTTCAAGTCTCCTCTCGTTCTCTTCTGCTGCTGCCTCCAGAGTCTTCCTCACCCTTTCCTTCAGCTCCTCTTCTTCCGATTCCTCACCCTCGTCCACGGCACCCTTGTCCTGGCCCTTGGCCTGGTCACCCATGTTCTCGGTCTTGGCCGTGTCACCCTTGTCACCCTTGCCCATGTTGTCCTTGCCACCCTTGTCCTCGCCACCATTGTGCACGTCACCCTTGCCCTTGTGCTGGTTCTGCTGGTTGTCGTCCTTGCCCACAGCGGGCTTGCCCTCACCCTTGCCCTTGTCCTGGCACTGGACGTTGTCCTTGCCCTTTTTTCCATACTGCTGGGTGTTGCCTGCAGACTTTCCCTTGATCCCCAGGTGCGAAAGAATCGCACGATTCATCTTTGACTTGCCCTTCCCATCGTCACCCTGGCCCGGGACCTGAGCCAGCTGCACTTTTGATCCTACCAGAAACCGTGTCACAACGCATGGCTCGCATAATCTAAGGCAGTGCTTGCCAAGCTGCCTCAGTCTCAGGTGACTCTGACTCACCTTCGGTGTCACTCTCAGACTTACTCTCAGATGTTGGGCATCTCTCGGACGGCATTGATCCTCAGCTTGAGTTGAGTCAAGCCCAGGCAACCAGCCACTTTGCTACCTAACAATGATTACAGACACTTGCAGTAATAATTAGTATGCCAAGTCACTCTCGGAGACTGGTCTTACAAGACTCGATGAGCCACGAGGAGGCCTCCCACTTGTCCTTGAAGCGAAGGTGCCGGCAGAGATCACTCGCGGCCCGTGGCTCCACACTGAAAAGCAGGAAGACGACCTGTCAAGGCTTGCAACTGACTGCCAATCTTGCAAGCAAAGCACCAATGACCGGGGCCAGCCTGTTGGGAACCGCGGTCCACCTTCTCCTCACACACAGCCGCCCAATTCGGGGGCAGGGCGTCCAGGCCGATACTGTTACCGGTCGACCGCCCCACCATGTACAGGCAGGACTGACACTGCACAGTGTCGGTGTTCAATAGTCCTATTCAATTTGTCAAACATTGCTGTTAAATTCGTTTATCTAGTGATGACTGAGCAATTCGTGCGCAAGTGAATGTGTGACATTCACACACACACCCACACACACACACACACTGCTTCTTGGACATGGACCAGATCTGCGGCAATCGAGTCAGCATGCCGAGATAGAGAGCCGGCGCAACAGCAATTCAACTCACAAACGCTGCTTGAAGGTGCTGGCAACACACAATGCATGAGGGGGGCGGCACCTCCTGATTCCGACGACTGTGACACTGTCGATAGCTGCCCAAGTCCTGGCAAAGGCTGCTGTTTAGTTGTCACATTAACAGGAATGCGACCTGGGTGCGACCTGGGTGCGACCTGGGTGCGACCTGGGTGCGACCTGGGTGCGACCTGGGTGCGACCTGGGTGCGACCTGGTGGCTGCTGTGTTACTCAATGCACGCAAAGACTCACTCTTAGTATGTGGCACTTCAAACTGACTCTCCTGGTTCGCAACACGATGCTCCTGGCACCAGCCAGGCCGAGCCATACCTGGGCTGAGAAAAGGTCACTCTCAAGAAACAGGACATGTCATTGAACAGTAAAACTTCAGTCTACAGTGCACAGACTCATCAACGTCCTGAAACGCTTATTTTTTCAAAATGCTCCACTCTCAAGCCGGCTCCGACACTGTACAACATGATTGTCCAGTCTTGAGCAAAGCTGCATCAATGATGACGCTACAGATATTTTCGTACTCCGGGGAAGTCTACTGTATAATATTCACATTCACTTAGACTTTGACTCTGACTCTGGACGTGAAACAGGCTCTGGCGGCTTAGTCTTTTGACGCTTAGCCTCTAAGTCTGCCGGCTTCGAAGCCCGACTCTTAACACCTTCTAGCTCCTCGAGTCGTTCCGCACTCATTTGGGCTATCTTTCGAAGCTTCTCTCTCAGCCTGTACTCGGTTTCCTGATCACTCTTGAACTTCTCAATCTTGTTGTTGGCTGCCTCAGGGGATACTGGGGGTGCATACTGGAAGAGCTTCAGGGAATTGATGTATCTAAAGAAACAATTTGTGTCAGTGTCAACCAGCTCTAAGTTAACTTCAAGTTGAGGCTCACCCAGTTCACTCTTCAGGCTCTTGATCTGCTTGTCCTTGTCGTCAATGACTTTCTCCAGATGCTCCTTCACCCTGGTGTGGTGCTCCTCGATGTCCTTCTTGCCCTTCACGTACTCACACTCTCGAAGGGCAACGCTCTTGGCGTGCTGATTCTTCAGCTCCTGGGTTAAACTAGCTAGTTTGAAATTGAGGACCTAGTGCTGTGTTCGAACCCTAAGGCCTCTCAGAGTCAGAGGTCGTACTTTCAAACGCATCACAAAAACAGACCTTGCCACCGAATCCGTCCTTGAGGTCACTCTCGCGCTTTAACTCCATCTCGGCCTTCTCGGTTTTCCACTGGTGACCCTGCAGCTCCCATGCGGCCTTCTCCTTCAGGTGACGCTCCTGCCGGGAGGAGACACATGAAAGTCTAATAACTAACTTGGCACTGAACAGGATCCTCCAAGCGCGCGATCTCACCCTCAAGGCGGTCAATCATCTTCTGCGAGCTGGCGTGCATTGACCCTCGCATGGCCGAGGTGGTGCTCCTGGCTGATTGCACCCTACCTCACTTTTGAGCCTGACTACTAGCCAAGCCCAAAACAAGTAGTAGCCATGATTATTATTACTTAAAAGTTGCATTAGAGCTCCTCTGATGACTCTGTTTGCCTTTGCCCTTGACCAAGTCTGCCGGGCCACCATATTTGGGCGTTGCACGCTCCATGGTTGCTGGGCGAGCTACAGGACTCACACTCGTCTATCAATCAAAAGGCCACTGGAGCAAAATTAGCTTCAGATTCAGCGTGTCGTTACATCAGAAACATGTGCATGTGCAAAACGAGGCAATGTGACGCTCACAACTGCAAAGCTCAATGCTGGCAGGTTGCCATTCACGCTGACGCTGGGCAATGAAGCAGCTCCATGTCAGGCCTGGGCACGGGAGCAACCCCAAAGACCACCAGCCTACTTCACATTCACACTTGACCATGCAGCGGCATGCACCTCCTCAACCATCCCAAGAACAATCAGTCCTCAAATCCGAAACTTTCAGCAACCCTCTCACACTACTGTCAATCGAGACTGGCTCTAGACCCTAGATTGGCGAATGACTATTGCCGACTTACACAGAATGACTCTGACTGTAGTCGCAGCGGCGAATGGTTCATGCCGCGCTACTTCAGATACTCACTCTCGACTCTAGTTCGGCGGATGTCTCTTGCCGATCTACACTTCGACACCGACCATCTTAGACTCTAGCTCGGCGAATGTCTCTTGCCGATCTACACACTGACACCGACCATCTTAGACTCTAGCTCGGCGAATGTCTCTTGCCGATCTACACACTGACACTGACCATCTTAGACTCTAGCTCGGCGAATGTCTCTTGCCGATCTACACACTGACACTGACACTGGCAGGCGGCGAATGGTTCATGCCGCACTGCTGCTTAGACAGTCACTCTGGGGCACCGAGCGTGGCCATGAAGAAGAGCATCTCGATGTGCATGACGATTTGGTTGCTCACACTGGGACATAGAATGGTTCAGTGGTAGGGCTGAATTTATGGTTCGTCTTATTAATAAGGCTTCAGACAGGCAGGGCTCACTCTCACTCTCAAAATGCTGCGAGCTAAAGCGAGCAAGATAACCCTGATTTATCAGCGCGCCCTGCCCCCCCCCCCTCCCTGCAAAACCCACAAAATTAAAAAACTTCCGAAAGCACAACCCAGTTTAGGGTTTAGGGTTTAGGGTTTAGGGTTAGGGTTGAGGATTGAGGGTTTCGGGGTTCGGGTTTAGGGTCCCTGCCAGAGAGAGCCAACGTCCCTTCCCTCTACGAGGTCCTGGACTGCCGCTTCTTCCTGGCGGTAGCCTGGTTTAGGGTTTAGGGTCTAGGTCTAGGGTTTAGGGTTTAGGGTCTAGGGTTTAGGGTTTAGGGGGTTTAGGGGGTTTAGGGTTTAAGCCCCAACCCTGGAACCCTGACACCCTGTGAGCCCCAAACCGGACCAACTCTGTCCTCAATGGCGAGAGATGATGCCGTCGTTGTGGCGAATATGAGTTGATTGCTAGCAGTAGGCGGCGGCTGTCTGAAAAAAAAAAAAAAGCAAGAACTGAAACTCATGGGCAATCCTTTTTTGCCATTCCTCTGGAAACTTTTCTGGGTATTGAATCAGCCCGAACCTGAACCCAAAGGTAATCAGGACCCTGACACTACGCCCTAAACTCTGACTTCAGCTATGTGCCGGACCTTACGACGATTTCAAATCGGCTGGACGTAAAGGAGTCGGAATGCTGGCTGTCTCATGCTTGGGTGCTACCTAGAGTGAGCTATATCCAGACAACCAGGACATGTACCGACATCTAGGTGGCCAAAATACAAGACAGCTCCCCTCTTATGAGCATGTGTTCTAGGTTCCCCTAAACCCTAAACCCTAAACCCGAAACCCTAAACCCTACACCCTAAACCCGAAACCCGAAACCCTAAACCCGAAACCCGAAACCCTGAACCCTAAACCCTAAACCCTAAACCCTAAACCCTAAACCGACCATGGGATGGCCACCTTCCAGGAGTTCTTGATCACGTCGCATCTCGGCCTTGATCTTGCTGTTCACCTGCAAAGCTGGCTCCGCTGTGTAGGGTTTAGGGTTTAGGGTTTAGGGTTTAGGGTTTAGGGTTTAGGGTTTAGGGTTTGGGGTTTGGGGTTTAGGGTTAGGGGATTAGGTTTTGAGACATCCAAGGACCCCTTTGCCGAAGAGCACTCAGATTCCTCCACCCGCTGTGGCTTGGGGTTGAGGGTTTGCGGTTTAGGGTCTAGAGACCCTCAACCCTAAGCCCTAAATCCAAAAACGCAAAAAAAAAACACAATGATCATCCCAAACCCTTGACTTCTGGCTAGAACCCTCATACTCCTTCTAGCTAAAGCCCTGCGTTCCCGCACCCCATCTCTACAAGACGTATCCCCCCGCCCCCCCCCCCACCTGCCTTAGGGTTGTTTCGGTACACCCGAAACCCTGACACCCTGACGCCCTGAAACCCTGAAACCCGAAAACCCTAAACCCTAAAACCCTAAACCCAGAAACCCAGAAACCCTGAAACCCTAAACCCCTAAACCCTAAACCCTGAAACCCTGAAACCCTAGCCCTGAAACCCTGAAACCCTGAAAGCCTGAAACCCTAAACCCTAAACCCCAAACCCTAAACCCTAAACCGTAAACCCTAAACCCCAAACCCTAAACCCCTAAACCCTAAACCCTGAAACCCTGAAACCCTAGGCCCCAAACCCTAAACCCTAAACCCTAAACCCTGAAACCCTGAAACCCTGAAACCCTAAACCCTAAACCCTGAAACCCTAAACCCTAAACCCTAAACCCTAAGCCTCGCCCCGCTTCTGCAGCTCGCGCCCTAAGGACCGACTCAGGGACGCGAGCTGGTGCTCCACCTCCGCATTTCTTGGGGCTCTCGGGCCCTTCACGGTTTAGGGTTTAGGTTGTAGGGTTTAGGGCCTAGGGTTTAGGTTAAGGGTTTTGGGTTTAGGGGTTAGGGGTTGGGTCTTTTGGGCCCTTGAGGGCCCTCTAGGTTTAGGGTTTAGGGCCTAGGGTTTAAGATTTACAGATTAGGGTTGAGGCTTTAAGGTTAAGCTTTTTGGGGTACAGGGTACAGGGTTTTTGCGTGCGGCGACAGAGTTTTGCAGGATGGTGCTCCACCTCCGCGTTTTGTCGGGGTTTGGGGGGGGGGGGGGGGGGGGCTGTAGGAAGTAGGGGTTCAGCAATTAGCATGTAACGGTGTAGGATTCAAGGGGTATAGGGTTTAGCATTCAGGGAAGGGTTCTAGATGTAGGGGTTTAGGGCTTAGGAGTCAGGGGTTTAGCGCTTGTGGTATTTAGCGGTTGTGTTTTTGTTTGCGGGTTTAGGTTTTGAGGGTATAGGTTTAGAGATTGGCGTTCATTGGTAGGCCTTTCGGAATCAGGGTGCAGTATGGTGCAGTTGGGTTGGGTCCACATGCAAAAGCCTCAGACCCCAATCCTTGCTCTATAAAAAAATGGCGCCAAATCTTGGTGTGGAGGGGCCACATACAGCAAAGGTGCCAGAAGAAGAAGAAAGAATAAAAAGACAAAGCAGAACAAGAAGAATAGGGGGAAGAAGAAGAACAAGAAAGGTGATGATGATGATGACGACGACAACGACGAAACTATCCATGGTGATGAGAAGGATGGGAAGGATGATCGTCATGTTCGTCTTCTTGCTAGCTGCTAGATCATGATCATGATTGTGTGCGAATTTTCTTAGCTGCGCTTTGGCTACCACCGAAAGACACTCTTCAAGGCTAAGGAACTGAGGTTGCAGTAGCAGAACCACAGGGCCATTACGCGTGCCATCATCATCATCATCATCATCATCATCATCATCATCATCATAATCATCATCATCACCATCATGATCATCGTCATCACTAAAAGAAAATTCTTACACCTATAGCTGGCATTGTCAATATTCTAACGATTGTCAAAACATTATCGCTACTCAAAAAAACAAAAGGGTACCCTTAAACCCTAAAAGGGAACCTTGAACCAACAAAAGGAAAGTCAAGGTTACCTCTGGGCTACCAAGTATTTATGCTCCCTCCTCTGCCTAGGTGGGCCCTTAAAACCCTTCAAAAAATATTTCTAGATATGCTCCTCCTACACCCAACATGGGAAACTAAGAGCCTACTCTCAACCCTACACCCTTTACCCTAAACCCTAACCCTAAACTTCCCAAAAACCCTAAACCCCAAAAACCCTAAACCCTACACCCTAAAATATACCCAGGGCCTACCGAGCTTCGTACTCGGCGGCCGTTCCCCAAAGAGCCTCCTCGGCACTGCGCAGACTCCGCGTCTCCACGGCCGCAAGCTCCGCAGCCTTTTTTGTGGGCTTTCTTGCAAACCCTAAACATCAATAAATCCTCAACCCTAAACCCTTAGCCCTGAACATCAATAACTCCTCAACCCTAAGCCCTAAACCCTGAACATCAACAAATCCTCAACCCTCAACCCTAAACTATCCCTAAACCCTAAAACCTCCTGGGCCCTCTCAACCTCTCATCTCTGAGCCCAAAAGCCCCAAACCCAAGCCATGTATTCCCGGACTTCTGAGTGATCGGTGCACGGAGGAATAAGCTCCGGTGGGGGCACGTGTATTCAAGGGACTAAAGGAGGGTCCCTCATCAGGACCTTAGGGGTTGTGTAGTGTCTTTTTGGGGTGACTTAGGTATATAGGGACTATAGACGATATAGATGTAGATATAGATATAGATATAGACATAGATATAGAGATAGATAGATATATATATATATATATACAGATATACATATATATATATAGGGGGTTATAGAGGGGAAGGGCCCCTTCTAGGGCTCCCTCCTTGTACACCTTAGCGTATGCATTTAGAAGTCCAGGCGGCCCTGCCTGTGCTTCGTCTGCCAAAGACCAGTGCTGCCGTACCTTCCGACGTCAGCCCGAAACCCTAAACCCTAAACCCTAAACCCTAAACCCTATACTTCCCCCAAACCTCCCTCCCTTACACGGATTTTGAGCTGCTGTGGACCCACCGAGAGTGGGGTTTAAGAAGTTTAGGGTTTCGGACTCCGGGTTTGCTGCCGAGATCCATCAACCCTTTGAAGAAAGGGGAAAATTAGGGTTTAGGGTTTTACAAGGGTTTAGGGCTTAGGGTTCTTTGAAAAAAGGAAAATGTGCCTTAACCATTCGTGTGTAGATCCAGGCGTTTAGGCTAACTTGCTGGTAAGCCGGTGGGATGCATGATGTGATTTGGCACAATCCTCAAGTCAACGCTGCCTGGAGCATGGCCTTGGAGGATCCGAACCCAAAGCCATTCTTCATTAGCGTTTAAGGTTTTGGGTTTCGGGTTGAAGGCTTCCACGGGGTCTTGTGTCACACAGGGTACCTCGAGCAGTGATGCCCCTACAGGAGAAGCCCCAGCTCGAAACCCCAAACGGATAACAACCCTCGAAGGGGTGTCAAGGATCAAAGAGCCCCTTCACGCCATGGGCCCCTTACGCTCGCCTCCCTTTCTTCCCTGTGAACCCTTTTGATAAAAAAAGCTCCCCTAACCCTGGCCTGAGCCGTATAAACCCTAAACCCTACACCCTAAACACTAAACTCAACCCTAAACCCTAAACCCTATACTTTGCCCTAAGCCCCATCCCCACCCCCCCACCCCAGCCCCTCCCCATCCTCCCGTGGCCTCATCCACTCGGCCCTCCAGCCACGCGAAATCCTCATCGAACTGCTCCGAGTCCTGCGGGACTAAATGAACCCTACAGGGTTTAGGGTTTAGGGTGTAGGGTATAGGGTATAGGGTTTAGGCATAAGGCTTAGAAGAATCCACGAGCCTTAACAGGGACTTTAGTAGCACAAAGTGTATGACGCCGAAACTTTCAGATACGCACTTGCTCCCCAAAGTTTTTTTTTTTTTTTTTTGGGGGGGGGGGGGGGGCGGCCCGGAATCGGAGATTAAGCCAATTACGGATTTCAATTTTATGCTTCTTTCACTTTGGGCATCTTATGGTCGCATGGTTTACACAAGGTCCATGTACCCATTTGGGGGTTTCCGAAATTGGGCGTACCTTATTGGGGTCCTGCTTATAAGGGCATTTTACTATTTTTGAGTCGATTATAGGGGTCCCTTATTTTCGGAAATCCGCATTTAAGGCCTTCAACGGACACGTAGAGATAGGCAAGTACACACGTTCCGGCTTATGTGCATCCCAATGGCTGCGTTCTACAAGAACAACTGTTGCTTAAACACTCACCCACATTCGTCAAGGGCATACATACACCCTAAACACTAAACCCTAAACCCTAAACCCGAAACCCTAACCCTAAACCACACAGCCGGCAACGTCTCCTGCTGCAGCTTGTCGAGCTCCTGGTGCTTTTTGGTTGGCCGGGAGGTGTTGGACCAATGGAATCCATGGTTGAGGGTTAGGGTTTAGGGTTTAGGGTTTAGGGTTTAGGGTTTAGGGTTTAGGGTTTAGGGTTTAGGGTTTAGGGTTTAGGGTTTAGGGTTTAGGGTTTAGGGTTTAGGGTTCAGGGTTTAGGGTTTAGGGTTTAGGGTTTGGGGTGATTTAGGGTTTAGGGTTTTGGGTTTAGGGCTGCAGCCTCAAGCCTAAATCCTCCGGAGCCTCCAAAGGACTTCGGGGCTCTTGGGGGGCTTTAATTTGACATTTGGGGTTTAGGGTTTAGGGTGTCGTCCGTCTCCACCCTGCCCTATTACCGGGAAGGGTGCGGCGAGACGTATATGTACTCCTGCTACCGCAACATGGACCTACTATCGTCCCTCTATAGCCTGTATGACCAGTAATCCCTAAACCCTACACCCTAAACCCTAAACCCTATAAGCCTAATCTCTAAACCCTAAACCCTAAACCCTAAACCCTAAACCCCTCTACCCTAAACCCCAAACCCCAAAACCCCCAGAGGTTCCCTTCCTTTCGTCCCCGAACCGCGCCTCTGACAGTGCTCGCGCCATGTCCTCGGCTGCTTCCTCCTGGTCGGTGTTGTCTTAGGGTTTAGGGTTTAGGGTTTAGGGTTTAGGGTTTGGGGTTTGGGGTTTGGGGTTTAGGGTTTAGGGTTTGTGGGGTGCAAATCCAGAGAGATGGTTTGGCCTAAGCCCTTTAGAGCCTTTAAACCCTAAAACCCCTTAAGGACGCGGATTTCAACTAGGATTTCTATGGGGAAATCTGTGTTCATCCCTCTTCTCTTCTCAGTAGAAGGGGTAAGTTCGTCAAGGGGGCAAATCCGCCAGGGGCTTAGGGTTTGGGGTTTGGGGTTTGGGGTGCAAAAGCCTTAGCTCGAAGAGTCACCATATGCAGATGGTTCAGAGAAGGTTTCATGAGTCTGCAAATAGCCCGTGGTTGCCGAATATTCCGTCGTAACTTGCAGAACACCCCGAAACCCTAAACCCTGCCTGCAACATCCTAACCACGAGGCTAGCAAGCTTGAACCTTCCCGAAAGGCTTCACTGAAGCAAACATCCGAAAGCTTTCACCCCAAAAGCCACAACCCTAAACAGCAATCCAGAACAAAAAAAAAACAGTGCATGATTGCTGCCGCCATCGCGGTCAACGTTAGAGGTCTAGAGGACATCAGTGGATTCTTTATCTGTTACCCTTATACCTTAATATAGCCCCTAGACACTCTCATTAGAGCCCCGAATATATGCCCCTACAAAACAGAAACCCTACTTAAAGAGACCACCAACCCACATAACTTAGACCCGAAACCCTAAACCCTAAACCCTAAATCCATATAAGGCTTAGGGGTTTGGGGTTAACAAAACCGCCCGGCTCTACCTTGGCGGTGGCATCCCCCAAGCGCTCGAGGACCTCTGCGGGGTGCTCGAGTCATCTGTTAGGGGTTTAGGGTTTAGGGTTTAGGGTTTACGGTTTACGGTTTAGGGTTTAGTTCTCTAAATTCGGGTCCCTTTGGGGGGGTCTTTTTTTAAGGGTGCCGTACCATATATTGACCCTATTTTAAAGAACTACCCTCATGGTATGTGGTGAGTAGGGATGCGAACTAGCATCTGATAACCCGAACGAGGGTTTAGGGTCCACTTGAAGTGCATGGGTAGCTAGAAGCTACAGATATATAGCCGATTACAATACAGACTAGCCCCTAAAACCCTAAACCCTAAACTCTAAACCCCTAACCCTAAACCCTAAACTTGTACTCTTGCGTACAAGGGTCTTGTAGACCAAGCTGGAGTTCAGGGTTCAGCGCAGGTGGGGCATGTTTACGAGGTTCAGGGTTCGGGGTCGGCTTCTAAGGTGCAGAGCTGAGGTTCGGGGTTTAGGGTTTAGGGTTACGGTTTCGGGTTTCGCGGGTTTCGCGGGTTTCGCGGGTTTCGGGCCTAGTGCTTAGGGTCTGGGTAAACCCTAAACCCCAAACCCCCAAACCCCTAAACCCCTAAACCCTAAACCACAAAACCCTAAACCCTAAACCCTAAACCCTAAACCCTAAACCCTTGGGTCGAGCCCGCGGGTTCCCGGGGTCGGCGCCTCTGCCTCCGCCCTGCGCCAGTCGCCCTGGCGCTTGGCGCGCGCCACATCGCGCGCCGCGGCCTGCTTTGACAGGGTTTAGGGTTTAGGGTTTAGGGTTTAGGGTTTAGGGTTTAGGGTTTAGGGTTTAGGGTTTGGGGTTGAGATCTGAACCCCAAAGGGTTGAGGGTCTAGGGAGTCTAGGGAGTCTAGGGAGTTTAGGGAGTTTAGGCAGTTTAGGGAGTTTAGGGGGTTTTGGGGGGTTTAGGGGGTTTAGGGTTTGGCCTAAACACGAGGGTTTCCTTGAACCCCATTTACCTACAGCTCTTCTGGGTTCTACCTATCAATTACGGGGTAGTTCCTACTAAACTGCAGGCAATTCGCGTCCCGGGTTGGACCCTAATCCTTAAAAAGGTTTCGCCTCAACCCCTACTAAACCCTAAACCAGATAAGCCCCCTAAACCCTTTAAAGGGGTTCAGGGCGTTACAGGTTCAGGGTTTAGGGAAATCTGACGCTGGTCAGCCCTGAAAGTCCTTGACCCCGACGCCATATTGTAGCACCAGCTTGGGTTTATGGTTAGGTCCTACAGCCGCTATAAACTCGGGTTTGTGGCGTATAGGGTTTAGGTACTACAGATGGGTGCATGGCGATTCGGGTGGGTTCTGGTGAGCCTACAGAAGCTGTCAGACAAGTTCATCGTCTGCATCCACCCTTCGCCTCAATCCACAAAGAAGCCCCAAGCAACCCTGTTTGACCCTCGTTTCGGATTGAGGGCTTGGTTAAGGCAAGGTCGGGGTGTAGTACTACAGGAGCCCTAAACCTAGACCCCACACCGCGCCCTAAACCCTAAACCCTAAAACCTTATAAACCCAAAACCCTAAACCCTCAACCCCAAACCCAACCGTAAACCGCAAACCCCACACCCCAGAACAGGAACCCCAAACCCAAAATCCCCCACACCCCAGAAGCCCTTGACCCGCACCTCCTCCTGCGTCTCCTGGACCGCACCAGTTAGCAGGTCCTGTCAAGGGAGGCGTAGCCCTCGAAGTGACCCTGAATCTTATTCCCCTATATAACCCCTATATATATATATATATATACCTTATATAGTCCCTATATACCTAAGTAGCCCCTAAATAGCCCCTAAGGTCCCTTATAAGGGTCCCTGCTTGTACAACCTTAGGTGTCCAAAGAGGGTTTAGGGTTTAGGGTTTAGGGTTTAGGGTTTAGGGTTTAGGGTTTAGGGTTTAGGGTTTAGGGGGAACCAGGAACCTTCAGGAAAAAGTTCTGGGGCTGTGTATGCTCCCTGTTTCTACACTGTTTTCCCTGTTGGGGATCCGTTTAATTTTGCCTAACTGATCTCTGGAGTCCCACACAAAGGTTGTGAGCTTCCTAGTTTGTGCAAATAGAACCAACTATGATAAAGGCATGCTGGCTAGAACAGTCTGCGGAAGGGTGCCCTAAACCCTCTGAACCTATATTTTAGGGTTCAGTTGGTCCCCAAGGCATGGGCCCTGTCATGAATCTAGCCTTTACCACCCAAACCGCTGTCCATCTGCTGATCTGCATCGTGGAACTCAGCCGTGAGGGCATCCACCCGTGCCTGGAAAGGCTTTTTTCGCGCATCATCGGCTTCGGCAGACTTGTGGCCCTAAACGCTAAACTCTAAACCCTAAACCCCAAAAGGGACGGTACGTAATCCATGTGAAATTGACATGGGTTTCAGGGCTTAGGGCTGGGGCTTGGGGGTTCAGGAAGGAAGGTTCGGGGCTCGAGGCTTCGGAGTTCAGGGGCTTCAGCAGTCGCAGGGCCAAGACAGGGTTTAGGGTTTAGGGTTTAGGGTTTGCGGTTTAGGGTTTAGGGCTTGGGCGCTAGGAGTTTCTGGAACTTGGGCTGGATCAGGGAACAGGGCTTGGGATCTTTTGGGGTTTAGGTTTGGCTTGACACCTTCTTTCGACGCCCTTCCCCACCCCTCTCCAATTCTGAGGTCAATCTCCGAATCGGTTTGGGGTTTGGGGCTTAAGCTTTAGGGCTTAGGGCTGAGGGTTTAGGGGAAGCCCTCAAACCTCAACACCCTAAACCCACCAAACCCTCTCTCGGGGTTTCTGTCTGCTCACCCTCTATGAACGGGAACCGGGGCTGGGTAGGGGTCGAGGGTTGAGGGGAATCGGGCCAAGCCTTGAAGCTTGAGGGTTTAAGCTTTCCAGGCTTTTGGGGTTCACCGGCCGGCGGGGTTTAGGGTTTAGGGTTTAGGGTTTAGGGTTTAGGGTTTAGGGTTTAGGGTTTAGGGTTTAGGGTTTAGGGGACCATATACTCAAGCGCATGACGGCAGATCGTGGGCTACTCCCTTGGACAGTTGTTTGGGCGGCGTGCTTCGCAAGGAATTCTTAAAAAAGGAAACGGAACTTCTAGACAAAGCCGGACTCAGGAAATTTCCGGAATCTGAAGCTGGAATCGGGACAAGCCCTGAAGCTTCAGGGTCTAAGCTCCAGGACTTCTTATTCACCCCCCCCCCACCCCCTTTCTTCCGTTTTACTTGGGATCCCCCTCAGACAAAAACGCCTAAGCCAGGCTAACCATTCTCAAGAGGGGTGCCCTGAACGGAACTTCGCTCCAAAAGTGGCCTAAACCCTAAACCTTAAACCCTAAACCCTAAACCCTAAACCCTAAACCCTAAACCCTAAACCTTGGTGTGCAGGGCCCAGGGGATGACACGTCTGGTGGCATGGGGCGTTTGGGGAGTCTTTAGCTTCAGCACGAGCCTGCTCATGAAGAAGTTGTTCATGGAGCCTGGGTTTAGGGTTTTAGGGTTTAGGGTTTAGGGTTTAGGGTTTAGGGTTTAGGGTTTAGGGTTTAGGGCGTGGGTGGGGTGTGGGGGCACTGTGAACATTCAACTTCTGTGGGCTATGTAAGGATTAGGGCCGGTAGAACTTGAAGAAATGTTCCAAAGGGTTGACCTACCCAGAACCCCAAAGTACTTAATCCCAACATGAGAAGGTACTATGCAGGCCATGAATATTATGGGTATTTCTGGGATGCCCAGGAACGGCCTAAACCCGAAACCCTAAACTCTGCCGAACAAAAACTAAACCTGTATCCCCAAGCTCTAAACCCTCGACCGGCATTGGGACTCGACTCACACCGAGAGGTTTCGAGTTTGGGCTTGGAGTTTCGGGGTTCGGGGGTTTAGGGTTTCGGGTTTGGGGTTTAGAGTTCGGGGTTTGGGGTTTAGGTTGGGATGTTCCCCCCGATACTAGCAGCCCTTAGCAACGAAAGTACCGCCCTATTAGAATCCCGATTAAGGACTGTTAGTATTGAGGGGAGCATTCCGAGGTTTATAGGGTTTGGGGTTTAGGCCAGCGTCATCAATCCCCAAGCGCGCGAAAGTGCCAAAAAACCTTAGCCTCCCCCTCAAATCAACAGGACACAAAGCCTTAACGCTACACCGCACGACCCCACAAAACCGGAACCCTTATAAACCCTAAACCCGAAGCTTGAAACCCTTACAAAAGCTCAGAAAAATCAAATCCTCCTTACAGGCCTCTGTCCTAAGCCCTTACAACCCTTTCAGGCCCTTAAAGGCCCTTATAGAAACCGCTCCTGAGACCCCAATCCGTAACCCCTAATCCCTAAACCCGAACCCTCATCCCTTAACCCGTATCCCTAAACCCTAAACAACAAAACCCTAAACCTCAAACCCCAAACCCTAAACCCTAAACCCCAAACCTCAAACCCTAAACCCTAAACCCTAAACCCCAAACCCCAAACCCTAAACCGCAGCAGAAGCCATGCACGAAGCCGGAGACCTCACCCTAAGAGCCCAAAACCCTAAATCCTACACCCTACCCTCAAACCCTAAACCCCAAACCCTAAACCCTAACTTCGAGCTTCGAGAGCCTTCGCCCCTCTGGGGCCCGCGCCGCTCAGGCGACTCAGCGCTTGCCAGGGCTTCAGCCGCACGTCTCTCCTCGTGGCTTGAGGGCTTGGGGTTTAGGGTTTTGGGGTTTAGGGTTTAGGGTTTAGGGTTTGGGGTTTAGGGACTAGGGTGTGAAAGTTGAGGGTTTAGGGTCTATAGGGTTTTGGGCTTTAGGGTTTGAAAGTTTAGGGTTTGGGTTGAGGGATTGAAAGTTTTAGGGTTTAGGGTTAAGGATTGATATTTAGGTTTAGGGAGGTAGCACGGTCGGCTACACCCTAAGTTTGAAACACCCGAGTAATCGAAAAACTGTAACGCTAAACATAAACCGTCTAAACACCCTCAACACCCTTGAGCCCTTCAACCAAAAGGCCGTATTCGCCACACAGCCCCTAATCTAACCCCGGGTTTCCGAGCATGAGAGCAGCGCCAAACCCCCAAAACCGTAAACCCTAAACCCCAAAACCGTCAAAAAACATAAGCCCTACACCCTTGAACCAGACTATCTATGTCAACAGAAATCACAACCAGAATCCTAATCTACACCCGCAACCCACAACTAAGCCCCAAATGGAGTTTGGTTGTAACAAAGCTGCGACCGTCTCTGCCAGAAATTTCAGCTGCCGAGCGTGCTTCATCCCCTCGCCTTGGCCTCCTTTGGCGTAAATGCCGGGCTGGGCGATGGGCAAATGGAGAAACGAGCTGGGCGGTGCACCAAGCAGTGTTCTGGATAGTGCTATCAGAGATCCAGGCGGTTTCCGGACGGTGCAAAAAGCAAATGGCTCGGTGCCATAAGCAAGCGGTAGAAGCTGGGCCTTGTGGCCACCTTGCTGTTGGTTCGTAGGGAATGTGGGAATGAGGCACCCTAAATCCCCCCCCATAATTTCCCCTTTACTGGATTATATAGGGTACCTCAGAACCTCATTCCCTCATTCCCTACTAAACCAACAGCAAGCCACATGGGTGGTTGTCAAAATTATGATCCCTTTTGGGGTACCCTAAACCCTAAACCCTAAGCCCTAAACCCAAAACCCAAAAACCCGAAACCCTAAACCCTAAACCCTAACATAATTTTGATAATTTTGACAGCAGGCCACATGGAAGGCGGACGCTGAGTCAAAAAGCGGGCGCAGACAATGCCGCCGATGAAGACCGCCAAATATGGACCGGGCCAGAAGAGACCCTAAACCCGTAGAGTTTAGGGTTTAGGGTTTAGGGTTTAGGGTATAGGGTTTAATCAACCCTAAACTCAGCTCCCCCCCCACTCACTGCTCATCACTCTGAGGTCCGGCCCAGACGGCATTGTCGAAGGCTTAAGAGCCCCACAAACAAAGACAAAGATAAAACCCAGATGTTAAGGAAGAACTTCTTTGTGTTTGTTGTCTGGGCGGGATAGTAGGCATAAGCCTCAAACTGTAAACATCCCTAGAGTTCCCACCCTGCCAAAACCCAGAACCCCTAAAACCCCGTATCAACTCTGTTTAGGGTTTGCAGGGTTTAGTGTTTCGGGTTTGGGGAAACCGTAAACCGTAAAACCCCTAAACCCCCAAACCCAACAAAACAATCCCTAAGCCCTAAACCACTTAAACCCCCCTTCAAACCCTAATTCACCTTCATCCTAAACCCGTATAAGCCCCCCTCAAACCCTAACCCCTAACCCCTAACCCCTAACCCCCCCCCCCCCCCCCCCCAAAAAAAAAAACCCCCCCCCCCCCCCCCCCCCCAAAACCCTCAACCGCGATATGTCGATATGCCCACTTTAAACCCTTCTTAGTAGCCCAGTCACCATTATTCTAATAAGGGCACCCATTTTTCGGGTTGGTGACTTTATAACCTACACCCCAAAATCCTAAACCACCCAGAACCAACAACAAAATGCTAAAGGGTACCACTGGGCTGACTAAGCCTTCAGCCTACCGTTTGAAGCCCAGGGCCTCGTCGCGCTTCGCCGCCACAGAAACCTGTGGCTTGGCAGAGGCTCAAGGGGGGGGGGGGGGGGTGACAGTGTGTGTTGAGGTTTAGGGTTTAGGATGTAGGGTTCAGGGATTTTGGATTTAGGGTTCAGGATGTAGGGTTGAGGGCTTAGGATTTAGGGTCTAGGATCTGGGGTTTTGGGCCTTGGATTTTGGGGTTTAGGGTTCGAAGTGGTGGTCAGGAATCAACATGAAGGTTTCGGGTCAAGGTTTGGGGTTTATCGGCTCAGGGGTTCAGGGTTGAGGGGTTTAGGGGGTTTAGGGTGTAGGGTTTAGGGGGTTTAGGGGGTTTAGGGGTTTAGGGGGTTTAGGGGGGTTTAGGGGGTTTAGGGGGGTTTAGGGGGTTTAGGGGGTTCAGGGCTTAGTTGGGTTTAGGGTTTATAAAGGAAGTTAAAGGCTTTACGTGCCCTTTTCTTGTGAGGTTCCTGTTCAGTTGTTTTTTGGGGTGTCAACCCTACATCCCTAGACCCCACTTACACCTTACACCCCAAAATTCCCAGACTCCTACATGCCCCAACCCTAAACAAAACCCTGAACCCTAAACCCGAAACCCTAAGCCCCGTGCCCCTAAACCCTAAACGCTAAACCCTAAACCCTAAACCCTAAACCCTAAACCCTAAACCCTAAACCCTAAACCCTAAACCCTAAACCCTGTGCCTGCAACTCGCCGCGCTGGCGCGCAAGCAGTGCAAGCTGGGCTTCAGAGGCCTCTGAGCGGGTTTAGGGTTTAGGGTTTGGGGTTTAGGGTTTAGGGCTTAGGGCTTGGGGCTTATGAGGGTTAGGGTTTAGGGTTTAGGATTTAGGCTCTAGGGTTCAGGGGCTCCGAAGTCTACACCTTCGACTCCTAAGAACACTAGATTGCATCCTTCAATAGGGTTCTGATAACCCTACTTCTAGCCACCCATGAACCTTCAAGTCAACCGTTTCTGTTGAGGCTAGAGCTCTGCCCCTAAACCCTAAACCCTAAACCCCAAACCCCAAACCCCAAACCCTAAACCCTAAAACCATGTAGGGTTTGTACTGGCCCGCTTCCAACGGCTGCCTCATCAGTTGTAACTCGGAACCCTACACCGCAGGGTGGTCGGGTGCACAGTTTAGGGTTTTAGGGCTTTCGTAACCCTAAACCCTAAACCCTAAACCCTAAACTCTAAACCCTCTAAACCCTAAACCCCAAACCCTAAACCGCAGGGTTTAGGGTGGCATTTCCAGCCTCAGGAGGCAAGGGGCTCAACTTTTTCTGTTGTTTCCCAATCATCCGCCGAATCCCCTCACAACCTCTAAACCCTAAACCCTAAACCCTAAACCCTAGACCCGAAACCCTAAACCCTAAACCCTAGACCCTAAACCCCAACTCAAACCTTGCCTTGAGCAAGGAGGGCTGGACGTATCGAGCCCGAAGATCGGCCTGCCAAGATGTCGCCCTACTTGGGGTTTAGGGTTTAGGGTTTAGGGGTACAGGGTTTACAGGGTTTAGGGCTTAAGGTACTTGGGGTTTGGGCTTTTCGGTTTGGGAAGTGTGGGGTTTGGGGCCGAAGATTGAGATCTGATATGTGGTGATGCTTCGACTTTCTGAGCAACACAGAGGACTCGCCATGTACCCATGTAGTACATCTTGGGGACTTGCAGGCGTTCCGAAAAAAGTAGCTTTAGGGCTATTGTTCCAGGTTTAGGGGCCTCGTGGTACTGCAACCCGCAACTTGAAGAAACCACAACTTGAAGGTTCATGCCTGGGTAGCTGAGGCTGCAATTAGGTCTACTTGGAGGTTCATGGGTACTTATAACCCCAATTATACGTCTACTTGTAACCTACTTAGGAGTCACAGTTGCGGTTACAACTGTACTTGTAACCCTAAACCCAAAGCTTCATTGGGGTTCTAAGTACCCATGAACATCCAAGTAGCCATGGTTCTCCTGCTTGTGCAGAGCCCTGCCCAGAACCCTCAACCCAAAACCCTAAAGCCAGTGTTGACTAACTCCCACATGGCTTTGAAAAGCTGGGAACTCCTTAGCCTCAGGTTTAGGGTTTAGGGTTTAGCGAGCACAACCAGACTTCACACGAAGTTCCTTTCCATGTTTAGGGTTTGCCTGCCGATCCTGGTTGCCTACAGTTATAGTTCCCCCTTGCAGGAGATATGGGGGGTTCGTAGTCGTTCATACTAACTATTTTAGACGACGGGGCCTCTAGTAGGTAGGCTTTTTGGATTTAGGGTTGGGATGCATCGACGGCTCCGCAAAAAACTGATATGCCAAAAGCCCTAAGGCCCTTAGGCCCTGAGGGCCCTGCCGACTGCCAGATAACCCAAAACCCAAAACCCTAACCCTAAACCCTAAACCAAAAAAAACCTAAGGTGCCTCGGCAACCTCCTGCTGCTGCTGCAGACCCAGCTGCCTGGCCTGCCGCAGGTCAGGAGGAGGGGCGTATGTTCACCGAAACATGCAGCGGTTCAGGGTTCAGGGTTCAGGGTTTAGGGCTTAGGGTTGAAGGGTTCAGGGCCGGGTTTAAGAAGGGCCTCTCTTTGACTAATGAAGCACGGGGAGTCTAAGAACGTGGAAGAAGCCTTTAGGGTTTAGGGTTTACTGTTTTAGGGTTCAGGGTATAGGGGCAGAGCGAGGCGGAGGGAAGGGGGAGGGTGCAAAGAAAGGGAGGGAGGGAGGGGGGGAGGAGGGAGGAAAGGGGAGGGGGAGGGAGGGGGGGAGGGGGAGGGGGGAGGGGATGGGGGAGGGGGAAGGGGGAGGGGGAAGGGGAGGGGGAGAGGGGAGGCAGGAAAGCTACTAGACACTATTCGATTGCGGAATCCTCGAATGCTTCACCCTCTACACCTGTACCGTGCAAAAAGTGCACCAACAAGAATCAAGAGCTACGAGTAGGAACAATACCTCAAACTCGAAAAGCCCATGAATCTCTGTATCTCTCCCTGCCCCCACTCCTCGGCCCCTCGATCAACAAACGAGCCCCCAGACACCAGAGCCGACATGTCACCCCAAACTCCAAAACCCCCTCTTCCCCCTGACGTCCCAGAGTGACCTATGAATGAAGGGGGACACTACCCAATTTCAACAGACTAAGGGCCGTCCCGGGCATTCATCGGCAGTGACAACCATGAACCTCCCCCCCAAAACCCTGAACCCTAAACCCCAAACCCCAAACCCTATGCCCTAAACCCTAAACCCCCTAAACCCTAAACCCTAAACCCTAAACCCTAAACCCTAAACCCTAAACCCTAAACCCTAAACCCTAAACCCTAAACCCTAAACCCACCCCCCAAACCTTCCAAGAGCCTCCACGAGGCCGAGGTGAGCTCGACGCTCGTCCAGCACCTGCTCAGCCTCCTGCAACTCCACCTGCGGTTGGCTTTAAGGGCTTCTGGCTTGGGCTTAGGGCTTAGGGCTTAGGGCTTAGGGCTTAGGGCTTAGGGCTTAGGGCTTAGGGCTTAGGGCTTAGGGCTTAGGGCTTAGGGCTTAGGGTTTAGGGTTTAGGGTTTAGGGCTTAGGGTTTGGGGTTTAGGGTTTAGAGCTCAGGGTTTAGAGCTTAGGTTGTAGGGTTTGGGGCTGGTATAGGGTGTGTAGGGTTTAGGTATTTAGGGCACAGGCTTTGGAGTTCCCCCACGCAACCCAACCCCTCCCCAAACCCGAAGCCCTAAACTTCTAAACCCTAAGCCCTAAATCCTAAATCCCCAAAACCCTAAAACCTAAACCCTGTACCCTAAACCCTTAAACCGCAGCTAGACCACTTCGGATTTCGGGCTTCGCTGGTTTTGGGCTTGGGCCTTCTGGGGCTTCAGAAAGATCTCGGACTATGTTGGAGGAACTGGGAGCATTTACGTCGAGGCAGTAAGTAGGGTTTAGGGTTTCGGCTTAAGGTCTAGGGTCTAGGATTTAGGGGGTTCTAGGGTTTAGGGCCTAGCGTCTAGGCTCTAGGGTTTCGGGTGTAGGGTTTAGGACCGGCCAAACCATGGTTCTCGGCTGTTCAACAGCTCTACACAAACCAAGGGCCCATGCGAACCCTTTAATTTAACGGAGGTAAGGGACCATATTAAGGGCCCATGTAACTACCCTTAGAAAAGCCCCAAGCCCTGAACCCTAAGCTACCTGAAGGCTCTAATGTAGTTCCTCTGTTGGGTTCCCTATAGGGGAATCTAGTATACCACCCCCGAAATGGCACGACAGAGGAGCCTTTGGGTCGTTTAAGCAAAATCCCAAAGTCCTCAAACACAACACTAAAGACCAACAAGGCCCCCATGCCAACTGCCGGAGCAGAAAGGCCTGGCAACGTTGCGCTATAGAGCGCTCCGATGCCAAGGCAGCATGCAGTGCAGCCTCGTTCGAGTGACAGGCCTGCGGCGGGTGTTTTCACAAGATGCTGCTACTAGATACATGCTTGCTGTTGTTGCACGATGCTCTCAAGTCTCCCTCCTTTGAAATACTAGATTCCCGATGCATTCGGCTTCCGGTGGCGGGCCTGCGATGCCAACCAGGCAGGATAGGTTCACGTGTCGTTGTAAGAAGTAGGGTTACCGCTTGGCTTCCAGCCGAGGCGTCCAGGACCCGCGGACCCCCTGCCCCCCCACCCGACCACCCGCTTTGTGCGACCGCCCAAGATAGCGCGGCCCAAAAGCAGGAAAATAGTCACCAAGACCCCCCAAACACCCGCGTGCCATGTCGCAGCCCCCGCCTCATTGGGCATCTAATTCGAAGTCAGGATGTCAACAAGACACCAAAAAGCTGCTGCGGCTTGCGAAGAAAATCGACACAAACATTCATGACGGACCCTCCACAAAAGGGAGCTACATTCAAGGGTCGAGGTCCTTTTGCGCTTAGGATCCTAGAAGCCCTAAACCCTAAACCCTAAACCCTAAACCCTAAACCCTAAACCCTAAACCCTAACCCTAAACCCTAAACCCTACAAAGGCCCTCAGCCCGGGCAGTCTCTTGGCTGAGAAAGGCCTCCGCCCGAGCCCGCTGCCAGCGTAGAGCCTGCTCCTGCAACGCATGCACACAAGGATGGGCTATTATACCCTAGAATGCCGAAAAAGGCCCTTTACAGGGTTTAGGGTTTAGGGTTTAGGGTTTAGGATTTAGGGTTTAGGGCCTAGACCCTGGAATACCTCAAAAGGCCCTTTATAGGGTTCATTGTGGGGATTATAAGGCCGAATAGCCCATCCTGGCACAAAGCCTTATCTGCTTGGGGGCTTCTGGGTAGGGGTTTAGGATTTAGGTTTAGCTTTTTTGTTGGCTTAGGGTTTAGGGTCTAGGGTTTAGGGTTTAGGGTTTGGGAGCTAGGGTTTAGGGTTTAAGGTCTGGGATATCTACAGAGTCGTACTGAAATGTTCATGGGTAGATAAAAGTAGGGATACAGGTACTTTAGTTGGGGTTTATAGGGGGCTTTGTGACAGTTGTCCTGCGTAGGTAGACATTTCCTAAACCAGTCCTCCTAAAGCAGAATAGGAGACATGCGAAATCTATCAAGGTCCTGTCTTTCTTTTTTAGCACTTCTATGAGATAACCTAGATAAACCCGTAAAATTAAAAAGTTCCATGGATCTGGCATATTTCTTTTGTCGGATTGTCGGTTGCTCGACTGGGATGTCCGTTAAACCCCTCTGAAAACGTTTTCCTGGATGTGATGCTCTTAAACCCCAAAAAGGGGAAACCCTAAACTTTCCTAAGCCCTAAACCCTAAACCCTAAAACCCTAAAACCCTAAACCCTAAACCCTAAACCCTAAACGCTAAACCCTAAACCTCAGTCTAGGTCGGGCCAAGCAAGCTCGGCCTGGAGCCTGGGGTCTAGAGCATTTAGGGTTTAGGGTTTAGGGTTTAGGATGACGGCTGCACAAGGCGGCAAACCTTCAGGAACACCTCTTGGTAGCCCGCATTGAAAGCAGGGCACCCTTTTTGGGGATTAGGGTTTAGGGTTTAGGGTTTAGGCTAACCACATGGTAGTAAGGGCACCCATTTTGGGGTTGGATACTTGAAAAGGGAACCCATAACCGAAGAAAAAAAGGGTCAAGGGTACCACTGGACTACCAGGACCTGGCAGACCCTGTCTCTGGCGCTGCGATGGAGAGAAGCGGGTTTAATTATAGGGTTCTTAAGGGAGGGGGGGGGTTCAAGGGGGTAGGCACCGAGGGAGCCTTCGGGAAGCTTCGGCAGACCTAGAGAGTAGTAGGGAGTAGTAGGGAACCCTTACGAACCCTATAGTTTAAGGGAATCAGTAGTTGCGAGTTAGTGTGAGTACCTGGAGGTTGAAGGGGACACGTAAGCAGGATCATTTGTACCTGTATGAGGCTTGCAGTAGGTGATAGATGCCGTTGCCCTAACCCCACTTAAGATGCCATTGAACCCTCAAGTCAACCACTCCCTTCGAACCTGAACCCTAAACCCTAAACCCTAAACCCTAAACCCTAAACCCTAAACCCTAAACCCTAAACCCTAAACCCTAAACCCGAAAGCTGCGAATCCCCAACGGCCTCCTCCTCAGCTGCTGCCAGTACACCATCAAGTGCCTCCTGGGCTTAGCAGAATGTAGGCTTTTGTGTTTTAGGGTTTTAGGGTTTATGGTTTTAGGGGTTTAGGGTTTTAGGGTGCAGGGACTTCGGGATCAGGGGAAGAATGACTGCGGTGTATCGGAAGTCACCCTCACGCAGCAGTGAGCAGCGGCCAGCCAATGCGAATGTAGCCCAAGCTGGCCCAACCCAGCTAAGATGGGGTCTTCCGGCAGGAAGGCGCATATGCATCACCAACCCCGCTTTCTCTCTCTGTCTACACATATGTACATGTGTGTGTATAACAATAAAAATGTGTATAGGTATATATATATATATGTATATATACACATATAATTTGTACATAAGTATATTCAACTCAAAACCGTGAGCAATAGGTGCCCCCTCTTCCTTGCACTCCCGGTCGTTACATCTTCTGCAGGATGCAACAAGCCCAATCACCTGAAATCCCAAACCCTCAACCCCAAACCATCAGCAGTGGCCTGGGGAAGGACCCAAGAAAGGTGCCCCTAAACTTCCGGACATGGCCCCACGTTTAGGGTTTAGGGTTTAGGGTTTAGGGTTTAGGGTTTAGGGTTTAGGGAGTTCCATGGGGCGCCTTCTTCGCACGCTTCGCGTTGCCCAGCTCACGCCGGCGCGCCACGAAGCTTTGCTCCGCGGCTGCCGCGGCGGCCGCCTCGAATTGGGGCTGCAGGGCTTAGGGCTTGTAGGGCTTAGGGCTTAGGGCTTAGGGCTTAGGGCTTAGGGCTTAGGGTTGAGGGTTGAGGGTTTAGGCTCCAGGGCTAAAAACTCGAAAGGGTTTAGAGGTTAATGGGAGCATTTAGGGGTTTGGGGTCGAGACCTGTTGTTCGGCCAGGAAATGACTAGTTCATGGTTGGGATCGCATTAAAACTTCAATTGCTATTCCTTATTGGGTCTAAGTGCCCTGAACAATGTAAAAATGTTTCCCAAGTATGACCAAGGCTAGAACTTGGGCGTCCGGCTGTCTGTCTGGTCACTGTCTGGGTCGTCTGCCGAACCTCAACCCTGAACCCTCAACCCTGAACCCTCAACCCTAACCCTCAACCCTAAACCCTAAACTGCAACAGTCGGAACCCTCAGACTCCGAAGGGTAAGGTTCACCCCAGACAGAATACAAGGAAAAGATCCTGAAAGGGGTCTAGGGTTTAGGGTTTAAGGTTTAGGGTTTCAGGGTTTAGGGCCTCAGGTAATGAGGGTTGAGGGTTTGGGTTCAACCCTCAAAAGGAACCTTGTCACGCCTGACTCTGAATCCTAAACCTGAGGCCACGAAACAAAAAAACCTTGCATCCTAAACCCCAAACACCCCTAAACAACCCTAAACCCTAGACCCTAAACCCCAAACACCCCTAAACACCAGACTCTACCAACAGATCACCCGCGCTCAAAAAAACACCACCAAAACAAACCCCAAACCCCCAAAAGCCCTAAACCCTAAACCGCCAATCCCCAAAAATAACAACCCCGCCCCCCAAAGAATCGACAAACCACCCAAACCACCAATAACCCAAGAACCGCTAAACCCCCTATATTCTAAATCCCAAACCCAAGCCCGAGATCCCAACTCCTGAGCTCTCAACAACCCACAACCAAAGAACCGCTGAAACCCACAAAACCCCAAAACCACTAAAACCCTGAACCCTAGTCCATAATCCTATAAACCCTAAACCACTAAAACCCAAAACCCTAAACCAAACCCTAAACCCTAAACCCTAACCCCTAAACCCTAAATAACCAAAGAACCCCAAGCCCCAGTCGCCTCTTCAGACTGGCGGTCCTTCCTCTGGCGCTTGAGCTCCTGGCGATGGTGACAGGGCTTAGGGGTTAGTGTATTAGGTCTAGGGTTGTTTTAGGTGTTTAGGGCCAGGGTCCAGTGTTTAGGGCTAGGGTTTAGGGTTTTGGGGTTTAGGGTTTTTTGGGGTTCAGGAAAGGTTTGAAGCAGGGGGATCAGGTTTAGGGTTTAGGGGATCAGGGTTGAGGGCAGGTTTTCGGATTTAGAGTTTGTCTTGAGGTTTAGGACTGCAGGGTTTTAGGGTTTAGGGTTTAATTGGGTTTAGGGTTTCGGGTTTAGGGATTAGGTTTTAGCCCACCTTTAGAGTAGACCCTGAAAAAAAAGTATACACTTTTTAGGTAGAAGTAACAAGAATAAGAACCCAGAACCAAAAAAAGTATTAAAGTAAAGTACTCCAAAACCCAGTTAGGGTTTAGGGTAGTGTCTGAGGGGCTTTTGGGAGCCTGGGGGTTTGCTGGGTCTGGGCGGTTAAGGGACTCAAGCCTTTTGCGGGGATTGGGTTTGGCGGTCTGTGGGGTGTTTAGGGTTTAGGGATTGTAGGGCTTGACGTTTAGCCCCGTGACCATACTATAAAAAAAGGGGGGGTGGTTATTGCATAAAGGAACCCAGAACCAAAACAAGACTGGGCTACCAAGCAACCCTAAACCCTGAACCCTAAACCCTGAACCCTAGAACCCTAAACCCTAAATCCTAAGAACCCTAAGCCCTCAACGCAAAGGTTCGATTGCGGCAGCGGCAGACTATTGGCAGAGCAGACGTTGTCCCGCTTCTCGAGATCCAACAGGTGGTGGGGGGGGGGGGGGGCAACTGACTCGCAAGAGCTGTCTTTAGGAGACACAAGAGGGCTTGGAGTTTAGGGCTTGGAGTTTAGGGCTTGGCCCTGTGAGAGTCGCACACCTCCAGATCCATGGCCCGTGATGCAATCTCCGTCTCGAGCTGGCGCCTGCACACCAAGTCGAGAAGGTTTGAGGGTCAGGGAACCTAAAACTTTAAGCTCAAGACAACTTAAAACCCTAAACTCAGGAGCCTAGAGTTGTCAGGGTTGAAGGACTGAGGTGTTTAGGTTCGGTTTGGGGATCGTAAGGGTGTGGAGCTTTGGTGGGGGTGCCAGATTGATCCTCAACAGGCAAAAGAGGTCCTGGTTTCGGCCCCCGCAAACCCCAAACCCAAAACCCTAAACCCCCAAAGCCTTGAACCAAACTTCAAGCCCTCGAAGTTCTAGTTTACCCTGATAACTTCAGCCCTCCAAGCCCCACGCATTAAGCTTGGTAAGCCCGGAACCAACCCCCATGAAAAAAACAAAAGAGTAAACAACAAAGTAATGAAAAACAAACAGTACATATGTATACATATATATGTGTATATGTATATATATATATATGATATATATATATATATATGTGTGAGAGAGAGAGAGAGCCCTTTCGGGTCGATTGTGCGTCCGCCTTGCCTTTGATAAACGGAATTAATTCAAATAATTATTAAGTAATGGATGTTTTTGTGAGCTGGCTGCTTGTATTTGTATTTGTTGGACTGTCATGCGCTTGCAAGTCCAATCTGTTCGCAGAAACTGCTCCCTACACTTGAACTGTCAAAATTAATTGTTTTCGTATGCCATTTTTGCGATCATTGTTCGCATTGATAAATTTGTGGGCTGGTTGCCTGCATGTTTTGGGATTAACATGCGCTTGCAAGTCCAACCTGTTCGCAGAAACTACTCTCTACACTTGAACTGTCAAACTTGTTTCGGTGTGTGCTTGTTTGTGATCAGTCTTTGGATTAACGTGCGCTTGCAAGTCCAATCTGTTCGCAGAAACTACTCCCTACACTTGCACTAACATGGTGGGCCGAACATGGAGACGACCTGGCATTGATTAATTTGCAAGGCTATATCCTCCAAACACGAGCACGACGAGGACCAAACTTTAATATGCTACAGCTTTGCTGTGCAAGAGCAAGCTTTTCAAGCACGGCGTCTCCAGTCTGTCAAAATTGCCACACCCTCAGCGCCGGGCAAAGACCATTGGGACGGCCGTTGGTCACGGTTTGGCACAAAGGGCCAACGCCGCACAAGCTCGGTGTTCAAACCAGTAGGAGACGGGAACGACTTGCTCATGAAGAATAGTTTTGCACTAAAGACCGAGCAACATCTAAATGCTTGCGCAAGACCCAGCAATAGGGCCCTGAGAAGGGGTGTAAGGCAGACTGCCAGGCTTGTGGCGGCCGCGACGTTGCCAATTAACTTTCTGGCGTCGTCAGACTCACTGAGACCCCGAAAACAAAGTTGCTGTGCGTCGTAGCCGTGACATCTCAATCAGTCTTCAGGGCGCAGCCATGTCTTCCTTCCGTAGTGGTAGAAAACCGTGGACGTGGCAATTGTAGCGACGGTACCAGAAAAGCTGAACTTGCCACGGTCGCTTGCCTGGCTCACGTCGGCGACCAAGTCGCGGAGATCCTGTGCGTGGGCGGGGCGACAACCCGAACATACAATCACACTTAACTTTACCAGTCCTTGACTCCAGCCAGCCTGCATCACAGAGAAACAGTCTTGAGCAATTGGGCGGGTCTGCGAGGGCCGCGGCCCGTGGAAGTCTATGGCGGTCTGACTGTCCTCCAGCCTCTTGGCTTTCACAACTTTTGCAAAGGCCTTTGCAAAAGCTTTGTGGCACCGGGAGCTTCTCGTAGTGACACCGCCTGAAGAGTCCTGCTCCCTGGATGCCTCTCCTTCCTCCTCCTCCTCCTCCTCCTCCTCCTCCTCCTCCTCCAACAATGGGCTCGACTCATCCTCGGGCCCCAGGGAGGCGTTCAAGCTTCCAGACCTCCTCCGCCTCCTTTTTCAAGGCCTCAGAGCTGTCTGCGCTGGACAACTGCGAGACGAAGAAAAAAAGCGCGTGGCCTGGAAGTGCACAGGGGCCATGTGTCCAGGAGCGTACAATGCCGAGATCTTCCAGGGGACAACCTCAGAACGGCCAGCAACTGCAAGCAACAATGATTCAGCTATTGCTTCAAAGTAGTGTTCTGAATGCAGACAAGGAGCATCAGGCCCAGCGCGGGTCTAAGGTCTTGCTGTGAGCTTAGAGTGTGGAGTTTAGGGTTTAGGGCTTGTTAGGTTTCCGGTTCGGAGTTTCCTTAACCCTAAACCCTTAACCCTTGGGTTTTTGGGTTCACCTCCAGATTCATCCGAGTTTTTAGACGATACAGGCTTTGGGAGGGTTTAGGGTTGAGTGTGTGGGAGGGCTTAGGGTTTTAGGGTTTAGGGCTTAGGGAGGGTTGAAAATCTAAACCCCGAAACACTAACCCTAAAACCCCAAAACGCAAAAACTAAAACCACCCCCCAAAACCCTAATCCCTAAACCCTTAAACCCTAGAACCCTAACCCTAAACCCTCTAGAACCCTAGGGCTTCGGGTTTTGGGGTATACGTCTGGGGCTTTTCGGCCTTTCCTCCTTACCCCTTAAACCCCAAATCAACTGCTTCGAAGATTTAGCACCCCTTCCACGACCCCAGATCCTTCACCGTAGGGAAAGGGGGGAATAGGATGCCATGTGGCCCCCGCGCTAAAGCGGAAGGTGGCCTCACCAGGATGCGAAGTCCTCCAGACCACCAATTATTATTAAGTAAATTAATTCCTTAAGCAGCGTGGCGCCATCTCCACATTTTCACCCTATGAAGTTAATTGAATGAATTTAACTCATTTAATTTATTTAATTAGGCAAGGCGGGACGCAAAATAGACCCGAAAGGGCTCTCTCACATGAGGCTCATACCGCTAGGGTTCTTTTCTTAGTTTCCATGTGCAGTACTAAACAGCAAAACAATACTTATTGTTTATATTCGTCCTTAAGCTGAAACATACGCGTCAGAAGCTTCAGGACGTGCTAAGATTTGTATACGAAGAATGTTCGCATTGATGTGCTTGTGAGCTGGTGGCCGGTATGTTTTGGATTAACATGTGCATGCAAGTACAATCTGTTCGCAGAAACTGATCCCTACACTAGAACTGTCAGAATTGTTTTTTGGTGTGTGTTTTTTGTGACCATTGTTCGCATGGATGTTTTTGTGAGCTGGCTGCTTGTATTTGTATTTGTTGGACTGTCATGCGCTTGCAAGTCCAATCTGTTCGCAGAAACTGCTCCCTACACTTGAACTGTCAATTTTTTTCGTATGCCTTTTTGTGATCATTGTTCGCATTGATAAATTTGTGGGCTGGTTGCCTGCATTTTTTGGGATTAACATGCGCTTGCAAGTCCAACCTGTTCGCAGAAACTACTCTCTACACTTGAACTGTCAAACTTGTTTCGGTGTGTGCTTGTTTGTGATCAGTCTTTGGATTAACGCGCGCTTGCAAGTCCAATCTGTTCGCAGAAACTACTCCCTACACTTGCACTAACATGGTGGGCCGAACATGGAGACGACCTGGCATTGATTAATTTGCAAGGCTATATCCTCCAAACACGAGCACGACGAGGACCAAACTTTAATATGCTACAGCTTTGCTGTGCAAGAGCAAGCTTTTCAAGCACGGCGTCTCCAGTCTGTCAAAATTGCCTCAATTAAAGTATTTTACCCTAATTCACAATACGGATCCTTAGTATAAGTTAGGGTATATTCACTGAATAAGGGATTTTGGAAGATCTGGGTTGCGTTGCAACGCAAGGCCCAGACCCCTGCGGGCGCCAAAACGCGCGAGGCCGTGACCTTGCTGTTTTTTGCGTATGTACGCAATCTTGCAGACAAGACAGCCATGATCAAGATGAGTTCTTCCAACTGCCTTGTGCTTTCGTGATGGGATGCAAGCGCAGCACCTGCACAGTCTTGTCGCGCTGAAAGGTTTCTCCGTGGAGAGCATTTGTCGGAAAAGCTCCAAACTGAACGATCCACCTTGACAGCCCGGAGGGCTCGGCGCCAGCAAGAAGATGTGGAACAGCGTCGGGCCAGCAAGTATGCGACGAAAAGGTGGTACACAAGGGTGCGACTGTCTTCATTTCCGCCACTTCTTTCGAGGCGGCGAAAAAGCAGCAGGAGGCAACCGTTTACTGCCCAAGCTTTCTTTGGCTTCAGCGCGGCTGCCATCGTCAGCTTCTGCAGCTGCGTGGTTTCGCGCTGAAGCGCTGATCCAGAGCCGAAGGTTTCAAGCCCGAGTCTAGCATGCTCAGCCAGCGATTTCGATTTGCGTTTCCCATCGTCACCCAGGGACTTGCACTTGCCCACCATGGTCTGAGACGTATGCCCCTGAAAGCGTCAACCCTAAACCCTACACAAGCTGCATGCCTGGTAGCTGCACATCCCGCATTAAAAGCACCGATTCTGCAATCGTGGCTCGGAGCCTCGGAGCACACAGCTGAGCAGTCAACCCACTTGCCCGACGCTCCCTATTTGAGTGCACATTCCAGCCCTTCAGCCCTTGAATAAGACACCTCCGCAAAATATCTTGGTAAACCCAGCCCTCAATCCTCAACCCTATATAAACCCTAAACGCTCAGGACGGGCCTAAACCCTTAACCCTAAAACCTAAATCCTTAAAACCCTGAAGTATCCTAAACCCTAAGCCTAAGCCCGAAACCCTAAACCCCGAACCCAAAAATCCTAAAGTATCCTAAACCCAAAGCCCGAAACCCTAAACCCTCAATCCTAAACCCAAAAACCCTAACCCCCGCAAAAAAACCCGCAGTAATCAGGGGTGCCTCCAATATTTCGCAGGATAAAAAACCGCAGCAAACCTGCAGAAGGCCGGCGCGACCCTGCAGTAGTCGGGGGGGGGGGGGGGGGGGGCGGGGCGGCCCAAACATGTAAGCCGCAAGCCCGTCAATTTTTTCGCGTCTTGCCTCAAACCCTAAAACACCCCCAACGGCTTTAGTTCTATTTAGGGTTTTGTGGGTTAGGGCTCTTCAACCCTAAACACAACAGCCCTAAAACAGGTTCAAGGATCACAACGGCCGGGAACGAACCAGGAACTAGATTTAAGGTTTTAAGGGATTTGGGGTTTAGGGTTTAGGGGTGTTTTCCCGGGCCCTAGATTCTCGGAAATACCGAAACAAACGAGGGAGGGAGATCAAGGGAGCCTACGGTTTTAAGACAAGGGGGTCCTAGGTTCAGAACTGAAGATCTGAGAGAGGGGGAGAGAGAGAGAGAGAGAGAGAGAGAGAGAGAGAGAGAGAGAGAGAGAGAGAGAGAGAGAGAGAGAGAGAGAGAGACCAAGAAATACAGAAACGCTTCGAGCGAGTGAGGAACCGAGCCTTCCCCGCCTTGAGGCTATAGGTTTCGGAGACAGGGACCAGAAAACATGCTAGGACAGGCGTTCGAAGAAGGCCCTATCCAGGAACCCGGCGAGAGAACGAGCAAGAAGTGCCCAATAATTTCCTCAGGCCTGTTGCGCGGCGATGCTCTGCTCCTGGTGGCGGGCCACTCTGACATCGGAAGGGGCTGCCGTCTTATCGAGATCAAGGGTGCCCTTCTTGGTTCGAAGGGGGCTATGGAACCTAAAGCCTGGAAAGAGGGAATAAGGGCCTACTCTGGGCCCAAGCGCCTCTCCCCGACCCCGATTTTGGGTGTCGGCACACTCACTTTTGAACGCAGTATGGCCCTCAGAGACATGACATTCCAGCGTATGGATTGAACCTCCGTGGAACCTGTGCCCCTTAACCCTGAAATCCCAAGCCCCAAACCCTAAACCCCTGAATCGACCCTAAACCCCACAAACCCACAAACCCCCAAACCCCCTAAACCCTAAACCCTAAACCCTAAACCCTAAACCCTAAACCCTAAACCCTAAACCCTAAACCCTAAACCCTACACACCCTAAACCGCAATCCGAAGCAGCCGCCAAGCCGCAGTCTGCGCCATCTCTGCCCGAGCAGCTGCAGGGTCTAGGGTTTAGGGTTTAGGGCTGACTGACACAACTTGGGGGCCTGGAGAGCTTGTAGTTTTTAGTAGAACTTGTATTCTTTACAGGGGGGTTTGCAGAGTTTTTGGGAGGTTCGTATACGGGGGTGATGGACCCTGCTGTCGGTACGCTACCAGTAACA